TAAACCTACTTATAGATTGCTTCCTTGTCTCGTTTGACCTGATCGTTCAGCGGATCCGATCCCAGCATGGCTGGTGGAGGCGCCGCAACCGGTGCGTAAGCACCCATCGCAAAATATCCCAATGATGCTGCGGCTGGGTCGGGCGCACCGCCCGGATAGACCTCTGAACCGCTCGGTGGCGGTCCATAACCGTCACCGTACTGAAAGAATATGGTCAAGATGAGAGGACTTTATTCCTTCACAAAATAAGTGGAATGCTATTTTTCCAAAACAATGTAAATATGAGAATGAAGATAAGAGTCCATTTCTTATAGGCAAATAACCTGCAAGCGTAAGACAATATTCAGTAAAATAAAGCATTTCTGAATGACAAAACAGAAGTTTCTACCACTGCAAGAGGTATTTGACGTAAGCCAAACCAAAATTCGTGATCAAAAGAAGGCAACGATCGATCTAGAAAGCTGCCNATGTTAATGATGACAGTGCGAATAGAATCCGATTAAAAATTGCTTGTAAAATTTATACGACCTCAAAAAAAGCATCCATTAATGTGTTGTTTCACATTTATCGCTTATGCAGTCAGCAAGAAAAAATTTTAATCGATGTTCACATTAACAACAATCATTGGAAGGATAATTTATGACAGAGTATAAGTGAGTTTGATCACATGCTCTATCGATGATGGAATTTGATACTTATCACCAGTCCCTAAAGCCGTTAACTGCCAAAAGGTGGTGATTCACTAGTTTATGCGCGACTTTTTAGCAGCATGTGTAGTGCTTTCGATCATATGTTCAAAGCGTTTGGCTAGCCGTCAGCATTGGTTGCCCTCATTAGAACAGTAGATCTTAAGATGCACTGCATTTGTTTCATGAACATAGTGGTGGAGTATTGAGCGACGACGTTCCACTTCGGCGATCACATTCACGGTAATACATTGATATTCGTAGTTTTGCTCGGTTCAAGCACCTTATTGAATGCTGCTTTCATAATACTTATCATATAGTACGACTGTTTATCCCATATGAATTTGAGAGTATTTCGAACGATTCTGAATTTGGCTGAACAGTGGTAGAATCGTGTTTCTCGAAAAAAGTATCGAGTTTTGTGGCGTTAAGTCAAAAATATTCCAGCTGCGGTACTTGTTGCTCACTGATACTACTCGCTTCACACCTTTTCTTTCATTCATTTGCAGTTGTTAACTCTTATCCGATGATATCAAATCAGATAAAATCTCAAAAGCGAAAGAAAATCGTTTTCAGCAATTTTTCTTCTGCTATAAAAAACTCGACTAACGAACAACTCATAGACTAAAAGGAGAGCGTCCAATAGATAGCGAATCTGATTACTACGATATGTTTCACATCATACAACATCAGCAGCAGCAGCAAAAAAAAACTATTATACTGTGATCCTTTGATGCATATTACGTCGAAGAGTAGTATTTGCATTCATCCTTGAATAAACCAAATAAGTCACTCAAATCTTCCTTCCTGCACTAAATGAATCCTGTTTTTTTGGTGATCTAGAACTGGAATAAAAAGGCAACTACTGTTAATAAATTATAGATAAACTAAGTGGCTAACAGCTACTCACAGCTGAACCCTCTTCCGACATTACTCTTCTAGTATAAATATTGTCCGAGAGAAGCCGATTGTAAAATGATTGTGTAACTTCGAAATGAAGTTTTTATTTTCATGAATGAACCCGAATAGCCTTCCTGCTTGCAATTCACCTTTCAAGTTCACAAAAATCACTGATTTAATTCGAGTATTGTAACGCCTGCTTGTTTCGGTAAACGGACTCACTGGAACACAATCATNACCCTCTTCTGACATTACTCTTCTAGTTTAAATATTGTCCGAGAGAAGCCAATTGTAAAATGTCTGTCTAACTTCGAAGTGAAGTTTTTGTTTTCATGAATGAAACCGAATAGCCTTCCTGCTTGCAATTCACCTTTCAAGTT